ACACGCAATGTGCATAACATCACCGTTTTCACAAATTTGAGTGTTTGTAGTTTACATGGAGACGATAGCAGTATCGTTTTCATAAACCTGCACTTTGAAATGCACTTTCAAAAGTTTGCATTTTCAAGTCACCAAAATGCATTAAAAGTTTTCTGGTTTTAGTTGAAAATGGTGTCGTGTGAATGGCCATTTAGAAATCCCAGCCAGGACATGTGAGAGGAAAAAAAGAGGGTGTATGGTCATCCCACTGATAAAGATTGCTTGTTAAGAAAGATCCAGTTGTATGAGTGCACACAGAACTTTTATTTTCTTCAGAAAATGTACAAATCTATTTTACCTAAAAATGTCTAGTATAACAATTCTTGTTACGGAACATTGGAGCCAAAATATGTCATATGAATATTGGCATGGCAGTGTTTCTTTTTTGAAATCCAGGAACATCTTTCTTGGCGGCCTGGTGGGAGAGAAATGAATGTCACATATCCCAAAGTATTTCCATGTACTTGAAGTATAAAGAGTCCAATAAACGATATTCCCTTCAGAGAAGAAAGTAGAACAGAGAGACGTGGAGACTTCATAGACATTGGATCCAGATGAGGGGTCGTCTCTCCCTGCAGAGCCACACGGGGATGAGATTGTGGTTCTTGGGTTTCTTTCATGCAGAAAAATCAAACGTGAACAACAAGGGGGGTTGCATTGTATGCATCTCTATTCGCAGTGCGCTTCATTTCACCAAATTATTGACCTAATCTCTTTTTTTTTCCAGTCAAAAAATCGTTGATGAATCATTAATGAATTCATAATCCAGTTAATATCTAATTTTATTCAATTTGTGTACTCCTTGAATATCAGGATTCAATAATACACTGATTTTACAAATATGATAAAATATATATATAAATGAAACATGTACATAGATGAATCGTTCACAATAAGATCTATAACATACGTTTACAAAATATTGTGATTTCATGCTGACTTCAGTATTTTTGTCTTGTTTGTCTAAAATGTAGGTTTATGAGGTTTATGCTTCATTTTATTGTGGCCATTTGCAAGTGGGATACGAAAAATCTTAAATCAAATTTAATTTGATATATATTCTCTGAAAACAAGTCTTAATGTCTTGTGCAATATACTTCAAGTAAATCATGTTTAGATATTTTTACTGGAAAATTTGCAGTGCATTTAAAGGCTTAAAACCAGATATTGGCAATGAAAGATGGGACGTTTCTACACTGTCCAACCCAAACACAATCTCTTAAGTAGGTGAAGGCAGTCAAAACCTGTGAAAGATTCTTTTGATTAAAGCATTTAAGTCTTAATTTGACTTGAAGGGCCTATTGATACAATCCCTCCAGATTTCCCACGAAGCACCATTGAGCCCACCACGAAGTCCAATTTTAGCTGGAATGCTTTTGTAGGCCTGAACTCAAAGCGTTTCGATTACCCTGTGATGAATTTATGATTTATAGCAAAGTTGAAAAACTTTAACGCTGGCAAAGGGCAACAGACAAAAAAGTCATTATTTCATTTTCTTGAGGCTTTACTGGTAATCTGAATCCTCTTTCTCACTCCTTTGCACTTTGTGGTTAAATATATGTGGTAAATCTGTGCTACTTTAGAATGTTTTCCTGTTGTTCCTCCTTGGGGCCCCCCGAGCAGTGCACACAACAAAATTAAATATCCAGGATTAATCTTCATTTAATTGTTTTATAAGATTTTTTTTGTGGAGGTTTTGTACTTTGGCTAATTAGTATGCTGCGGGAGAGGAATGAAAAGCAGGTTTAGGAATAACGGATTGATTTTATTTTTTCATGGTTACCTTCACTCTTCAGGGGGTCATAAATTGAGTTGTGTTAGTTCATGTGTGGCATCCATATGGACCTTCAGGTGCGAGACAGATAACACAGTTTCAAGGATAAATTCTTGGATCATAATGTGAGTGATGTTTGTCCATTAAAAATCCAACAGTGGCTTGTTTTTTTGGTCGTGTTTCTGGGATTTTTGAGGACGAAAACCTTTAATCCCCCAATCATTTTGATGGATTACTCAATTACAAATGCAAGTCTTCGGCCCTGAGGGTCAACAGATTGAGACCCAGCAACAGTGACCAGTTGGAAGACCGACCTCCTCCTCACAATGATGAACTTAAAGGATCTCAGACCCTGAGTACTATGCTCATAAATCAGAGTTACATGTCTTAGGCCATTCATTAATTTCTCTTGCAGGAAGTCCGCTGGCATTGACCTGTGCTCATGGTGTCTGCTCAGCATGAGGAGACACTGCAGAGAGCAAGCCATGTAAACGCTCCCAGATGTATGATTAGAGCTTGTAGCACGTCCTCAAAACAAACGTCCTGTCCTTAACATACCTCTGGGAACGCTTAAGAACAGGGATTGTTTATTGTCCACAATGGACTCGTACATCTTTTGTCTGTTTATTCAAAGGCAAGCTTAGCGTTCGTTATTTTAGCCCAGGATGTTCCCTTACTTTTGGGTACAGATACTTCGTTGAAGTTTGAAGGGCCTGTCACACTAGACCTTGTGTTCACTTCGTACGCACGCAAACACACAAGCACCAATTTTTCATTTGGTGTACTCTAGCCTGCAAATTCGTATAGCTTTCTGAATGGCAATTATTTTGAAGTCTTCTTAAAGAATGACATGGAGGATGTACAATACAGTTTCTGATCAAAGCAAGTTTCAAATACAAACTTTAAAAAGAAAAGCTACTTTGAAAAAAATTGGCGTATGCTTTACTTTAAAGGAATTTCACTCACAATTTTCATATTCACACAGAACATCAAGTAAGACATTGAATTTAAGTGAAATTTTGAAGTAGAAACACTGAAACGGCGTAATCTTGTCAAATGTACTCCAGTAATCTGTGTTTTATTTACTTTGAAACATGAAGTTGTGGGGAAATGGAGTAGATGATACTCAGCAAAACATGAGAGAGCTGATCAACCTCTATTTTTTTAGACTTACCTGTTGCTCTTCACCAGTCAGATTGAGAGGGAGAGGGAGATTTTAAATTCCGTGTTCTGGGTTTTACAGATAGAGTGGATGTTGTAGTTACACTTCTCTTAATTTCCTTCTTAATTGCTACTTTCTTTTTCCTCCATGTGGTAAAAGCAGTAATCCAATTTGAGTCCAATTTGACTCTACACTCTAAAAAAAACAAGGGTTCTTTAAAGGTTTTTTACACATTGTTCTATTTAGAACAATATTGTTCTGAAGAACCCTTTTATGCTAAAATGGCTATTTGTGTCAGAGTTTAAGATTCTTTGTTCCCACTCTTTTTTAAATCTGTAACTGTCAATATTCTTTCAAATCCACTTAACTTTTGATCTTCTGGAGCTTGATCAACAATTCAGCTACACAGTGGGCCGTGGGGCCATGACACCTTTTATCAGAATTGTGTTTTTTTTTTTCTTTTAATTTAGGATGTTGTAGTTACACTTCTCTTAATTTCCTTCTTAATTGCTACTTTCTTTTTCCTCCATGTGGTAAAAGCAGTAATCCAATTTGAGTCCAATTTGACTCTACACTCTAAAAAAAACAAGGGTTCTTTAAAGGTTTTTTACACATTGTTCTATTTAGAACAATATTGTTCTGAAGAACCCTTTTATGCTAAAATGGCTATTTGTGTCAGAGTTTAGGATTCTTTGTTCCCACTCTTTTTTAAATCTGTAACTGTCAATATTCTTTCAAATCCACTTAACTTTTGATCTTCTGGAGCTTGATCAACAATTCAGCTACACAGTGGGCCGTGGGGCCATGACACCTTTTATCAGAATTGTGGGGTTTTTTTCTTTTAATTTTAATGCATTAGTTTTGACAAGTCTGAGTGATCAACACACAGGTTGCAACGAGGCTTATGTCCCTCTCTCTGTTTCCAAAACTTTGTTTATGCATTGTTTTGGGATAACATGTTCCCTCTTTTCTACCTTAACACACACAAAAATAGCTGGAAATAAACTGAAGGCATTTTTGATGTGGGATTGTTACTAGGGTTCAACTAGCTTTTGGGACAACCAAAAAAGGGCCTGAAATTGTACAGATATATGTGTTAAAGTTCAAAGGTCTCTGGCATTTTGATGACCTGCCACACTTCATTCAAAAGTATGCGATTTATCTGACACTGCTAGTTTTAGAACAAGTCTTGGTGCTTCATGACAGTTTTAAATTGGGCTTTTAACCTTTGACATCACGCCTTCTGAACCAAAATAAATCCTGTAAGGTCACCTTTTGCATGACTGCTCAGATGAGTGTCCATACTAGACACTAGAAACTAGATTGCTCCCGTTACAGTCCCACACAGTCTATGAAGCTTTCTATAAAATAAAAGTAATAAAACCTCTTTTATACTGCCAATTTGGCACATCCTTTCTATTTTGGACATCTGCACAGCTTTTAATTACCTGGTCTGACTAAAACTGATTTTAGAACATGATAAATTGACTACTGTGAATTTTATTTGTTAAATATTGAAATGACTTCTGACAATTAGATTATGTTTTATTTCTAGCCATATGTATAATGCACACATCTGTCCAGTACTACAAATAAAACACATGAAGAAGCCCAGGCTAGACATGCCCAACTATTTTTCTAGATCATTGACTATTCTTGCATTCTTGCCTTTAAGTCCATTTTTATGAAAACCGTCTGGTGCGTGAACATACTTGATTAACATGACAGTACTAATCTTGAATTTAGCATTCGTACTCACTGGTGGTATTGGTTTCAATAACAAGATTTTAGGTTATAAGTCAAAAGAAACTGGTCTGACTCCAGTCCTCTTCTTAAGAACAGAGGAATGACATCATGGCCCAACATGATCCTTTTCATTTCATTCTATATTTCTCTCCTGATCTTCATCTTTTTTACCCCTCACACTTCCCTTCAGAGTCTATCTGCACTTTCCCTTTTTATGACTGGCTGTCTGGTGGACTCCTGGGGTTTAATCTTCTGTTTTTCTCTTTTTCCACTGTTCAGGGTCCACTCGGTCTGGATGGCAAACCTGTGAGTATTCCCAAGCTTTAAAGAGACGAGATGAGAATGTGTGTGTGTGTGTGTGTTTGGAAAACAGGTTCTGGATTCTCACATTACTGGACATTGTCTTTCCAAGGTAGTATGTGAATTTTTGAGTGACATTTGGCTTTCAAATGGTTTAAGTTACTTTGGAAGAAGCTTGTAACTGAAGCAGCCTCAAAGTTGATGCTTCTTTCATTTAATTACATAAGCTTATTGTTACTTATTTTTTTATTGCTCATAAACACTAACCATTACACTCTCAGAAAAAAGGTACAAAACTGTCACTGAGGCGGTTTCCTTTCAAAAGGTACTCATATGTGACCCTGGACCACAAAACCAGTCTTAAGTTGCACGGGTATAATTGTAGCAATAGCCAAAAATACATTGTATGGGTCAAAATTATCGATTTTTCTTTTATGCCAAAAATAATTAGGATATTAAGTAAAGATCATGTTCCATGAAGATATTTTGTAAATTTCCTACCGTAAATATATCAAAACTTCATTTAGGATTAGTAATATGCATTGTTAAGAACTTAATTTGGACAACTTTAAAGGCGATTTTCTCAATATTTAGATTTTTTTGCACCCTCAGATTCCAGATATTCAAATAGTTGTATCTCGGAACCGTAGATCAGTGGAAAGCTTATTTATTCAGCTTTCGGATGATGTATAAATCTCAATTTCAAAAAATTGACACTTAATTTGTGTTCTTTTTTTTTTTTGTGGTCTAGGGCAGAGTTTCCCAACCGGGGTGCCGTGTAAAAAAATTATTTTTGAATATTTTTAAATTGCTAAAATGTTCAAAAAAGCATCTATTATATAATATCCATTTCTGATGTCGCCAATAATTAGAGAAGCACCAAAATTTCGGCTGCCGAAAATTAGTTCACCGCTAAAAACTAAAAAGCTATTTATTTAATTCGAAGGCCTGTCGTTATTGTTCATTGTGCTATCATTATTAATTTCTTTATTTGTTCTTATTTTATTACTGACTGCTTACTTGTCATTTTTTATTCAATTCAAAGTTTGAAATCAAGCTATCTCGTACTACTGCACCAAAATTACCCAGCTGTAAAATTAAAAAAACACTGAGTGAGCAAAAATTTGTGAGATAGCTAGTTATAATGGTAATTAAATCATGTTTATGTATAAAAGCCTACATTAAAATCTGTCATATAAATTGGTCTCTTCATTAGAAATTAGCCTACTGATTGCCGCCATTGATGGACAACATTTTTTAATAATATTAAAAATATCTGTATGACATTATATTCTGCAGGTCTTCCCTGCTGTACCGAATATCTATACTTTTCAAATTATCATATCGAAGTTAGAAATTCAAATATTGTGACAATTTATTTTGTAGGGTGTCACAAGTTTGTTAAAATTTCCAAAGGGTGCCGCGACTAAAAAAAGGTTGGGAAACACTGGTCTAGGGTCACATATGTACATTTTAGGCAATCATATGTACCATTTAGGGGTAAATAAGGTACAAAGATGTGCCTTTTAGCTTTTGTACCTTATACCACCACCCCATTGACAAAGTCAGCAAATCTCTGTTTATACTGCGAATATAAATGATGCCTCAATTGTGTGACTTTTATAAGCAATCAGAATTATGATTTTTGACGATTGAAAAAAATGACATAGACTTACATTGAAAGAGGGACCTGAATCATGATTAGAGACAACAATATCACAAAGACTTGGCTCTCCTAAGCTCTTTTTGAATAGAAATATAATAATTGATTTGTTTATTTGCAGGGTATTCCTGGACCTAAAGGAAGCCAGGTAAATACAATTTAAAATCTCTACTGTGCCATGAAGGTTATCATCTTATATTATAAATAAATAAGTGCTGCTTCATTCAGTAAGTTTATGGAAGTTACAAACCCTTACACACATTTGAAAGTTGTTCATTCATACTGTGTACATAAGGAATCATGGTTTTATTTTTGCATGGCATCAGGGGGATTAAACTCTATTTAAGTTTTCAAGCCATTTATCACCTCAGATTGGGGGTCATACACCACAAAGTGTCTTTTACCTTGTATGTCTATCCGCAAATGAGATGGAAATAATGGATTACACACCAAAAGGAGAGAATTCCTCATTGTTAGCTTGTGCTGTTGCAGATAGGCGGTCGTTTATGAACCCTGTCAGGCTCTTTAGCGCTGCCAAAGGAAAGCCCATTTGTCCAATGTAACGTAAACCACTTCTTCTGGAAAGCAGACCACCTCAAAATCCCATTCATCTGTGGCTTCCTGTGAAAGACAGTTGTTTTGTTTTGACTCGCATGAAAGAAAGTCAAACGTGGTCATACTGTAGGTCTCATTCAGGCTGAAAATTTTGTTTCTACGATGTGACTTCAGTGTTAACAGTAATTATAGCAATTTAACGTTTTCAATTTTATTCCACCCAAACAAACACAAATGAATTCATTAAAGCTATTTATTTATTTATGAGGTTTTTGAGAAAATGATACTCACTTTTTAGATACAAAAGTTTGGGACCAGTAAGATTTGTATTAATGTTTTTTTTATAGAAGTTTCTTATGCTCATCAAGACTGTATCTATTTGATCAAAAATACAGAAAAAAATTAATTTTGTGAAATATTATTGCAATTTAAAATAACCATTATCTATTCTATTCTATGCTAAAATGATATTTATTCCTATAAAGCAAAGCTGAATTTTCAGTATCATTACTCCAGTCTTCAGTGTCACATGATCCTTCATAAATCTAATATATCTAATATGCTGATTTTTACTCAAAGTTGGAAACAGTTGTGCTGCTTAATATTTTTAGGACCTGTGATCTTTTTTTCAGGATTCTTTGATAAATAGAAAAAGTTAAAAAGAACAGTGTTTATTCAAAATTGAAATTTTGTGTTACAATATACACTACTATTCAAACGTTTGGGGTCAGTAAATTTTTTTAAAGAAATTAATACTTTTATTCAGCAAGGATGTGTTAAATGGATAAAAGACTTATATTGTTAGAAAAGATTTCTATTTTGAATAAATTCTGTTCTTTTTAACTTTTTATTCATCAAAGAAAAAAGTATCACAGGTTCCAAAAAATATTAAGCAGCACAACAGAATCAACACTGACAACAAATCAGCATATTACAATGATTTCTGAAGGATCATGTGACACTGAAGACTGGAGTAATGGCTGATAAAAAGTCAGCACTGCATCACAGAAATAAATAGTATATTAAAATAGTATTGCAATTGCGATAATATTTCACAATATGACCTTTTTTCTGTATTTTTGATCAAATAAATACAGCCTTGATTAGCATTAAAAATCGTACTGATCCCAAACTTTTGAACGGCAGTGTATATAAACTAAAACAGTTTACAGTTAAAACTGCTATTGATTTAAAAAATAAAATATGTTTTAATTGGAGTATTCCTTTACATCATTACTACAATTTCCCCTTTTTTCACCTCCTCCGCCTCGTAATTATTCAACATACACTTTGCATCAGCTTCACTAGCATTGCCTCTATTATGCCTCTATTTTTTTTTTCAAAGCAATGTGTTTTACACATGTAGATCAGCTTAGAAGCCTTGTCAGTGCAGACCAATGTCTGATATGGGTCACAGTGAGAAGGTCATGTGAACAAGCTCATAAAAATGAAAGTTTTGAGCAATAAATGTGAATTTGGCACTTGTCGTGTAGTGTGAATTTTGCCATAGATTCTCTTCCCTATCATTTCCACTCGCATAGTTTCACTCAAACCATCTTCTTTATGTTCAGTCAGTTGTACGTTCATCATATTCCCAGACTTTTGATCATGTTATTTGCAAAGACTTTTAAGATCAAAGAATACAGCTATATCTACTACAGATGTGAGGTGCTGCCTGTACTTTTATTTGGGAAAAAGATGACTTTGAAAAAGAGGACATTGAGACACTAAAGACTCTTAGTGAATGACTTATGGTTCACATGGTATTTTTTTTAACTATGCTAAACTATTTTCCTTTAGACTTTTGTCATATCGATTTTTCATTTTGGACAATCTGTCTAATCATTACACCCAACTCATTTATTTCAGGGGCTGCCAGGACCAAAAGGAGATAAGGTAAATTTAGTATCTCTTTTTTTTCCTCAATATTGTACGGCACACACAGAACGGTTCGTTCTGTTTCCGATCTCAGTTTCCCAGCAAGCAGATGTTTTCTGATTTCTAAAACAACTCACAAATTTCATTTGCATTGGCTTTTGTCTTCAAACACATGTTTTGGAGGGGATGTAAACCGTGTCAGGCATCAAATTAGAGAAACAAGAAACTTAAACGAAGACCGTCTTGAAGTCTTTTCCTGATTGCAGTGAAAAAAAAATATATGCACAGCACAGCAAAACAAAAACATGGAGCATCAGGATACTTTTTCTCCCAGATCAGTGTTCCTCATTTATAGTGATTAGTAAACAGAGTTATTCACATTCTCTGGCCTGATTTTATTTATATGCTTACTTGTTATGTTACTTTAAATAGATAGTCAATTGTAAACCAGATTAAATTATGACTGAGGCTGATTAAATGAGCTAACTGATTTTGTTAGTGGGTCAGGAAGCTGTTATATATAAATCAAAAGCAGTGTTTGTCAGTGAGATTTCATCTCATTTCCAACACCTTTTTCACCTTTGGTGTGGACGGACAAATTGCAACAACCACATAGACACCTTAGCAATCATCCACACACAGTCAAAAACCCTCTTCAGAATATCAAAAAATCTAGTATTTGAGTTCACATGTGTTGCTAATTGCATTTCTTGTCTTTTTGTGTTGTAGGGTGATCAAGGAGATACTGGGCCAAGGGTCAGTACACACATATTTCTGTCACTTATAAATGTATACACATTATTAATATTTTCCCTTACAATCAGAGGAACAGAATGTCACATTTGCCTCAGAGCAATGAGGGCGATACCTGACATTTAAGAAGATAGATGGTACATCATAAATCAGAACTGAAGGGCTGAACTGTGTGCGGTTCATTTAATAGATTCAATATTCTCTCTTGCTCATATTGTCTTGATCTTTCTTTATTATTTTTCTCACACACATTAAAAGACATGGCAAAACACCAATGTGCATATATACGAGATGGGCAACTAAAGATATGGGAAGAAATAAAATCCAATTTTTTTTATTAAGTTGGGTAATTTCTTTAGAGTGACCATGCCCACATGTGCCAGTAGCCCCGCCCCAATCATTATAAGTCAATATTTGGCTATTTTGAAATGATCAGCAATAAACAGTGAAGTATTAATTTTGCCTAATTTTGTAATTTCTACTTTTCAAATAATTTTGAATACACTGTAAAATAAGTATTTATTTTTAAGTGTGTATTTATTTATAAATTAAGCAAGTTGATGTACCCCCTTTATTAATAAATGATATTGTATTTATTTTAAATATACACATTTTATATATTTATTATTATTTATGAATAAATAAAATGATTTATTTATATATTTATATTAAATATTTTGCAATACAATTGTTGCAATTCAATATAAAAATTTAATTAAAAAAAAATAAAATATATATATATATATATTATAATATAAAATGTTATTTTTTAAATGACTCGAACAGTGTTCTGTTACATATTCTGCCCCTCTGGTATTTTCAAAAGAAACAAACATGGCAGTTCGGATTTGAATCTATTTTGATTCACTAAAGAGTATGCTGTAAAGAGACAGCATGTTTCAGAGCACAAAAACAATGAAAAATGTCTCCAGGCCTTAACTAAATCTTAACAAACCTCACTGTGGGGAAGCACTGAAAAGGAAAAATACAGAGTAAATAATGTATTTATTCTCTTCTAAAAATACCACAAGTTTTATTTTAGGGTTGGGGTTAGTCTGCAGTAAATATAATTAGCGTAATTTAGATAGCGTAAGAACAATAGAAGTCTATGGGAAGCTTAGTTAGCTGAGCATGTGTGTAGTGCTGAGTAAAGCAGCAGTGTGGGAAACCTCAAGTATCCCTCAGGTCACCACATCCCTGCTAACTCAACCCTCATGCTCACGCTGGCATCAACGTGCTGTGTCACTTCCACTTTCTCTCTGTTTTCTTCATTTCTTTTTTGCAAGGCTCTAACTTTCTTTCTTAGCCATGTAATGTCACCATTTTGGCAAAGATTTCCTGCAACATGATTTTACATGACAGTGAAAAGCCATAAAATAATCCTTACGCTTTTGAATTTTTGTCACTTTCCATCCTCAAGTCTTTTCAAAGAGAGAAAAAAGAGACATCCATCCTCACCTGGATAGCACAGCCTTATATAAAATCTCTCGCGGCAGACATGTGCCATTTCTCTGTGCTTCTCGAGCTGCTCTCTGTTACTGCTGTCAGCACAATCCAGCCCTCAGATTGTGGTTTATAGAGACATGCAAACAAAGATACATTGTCCTGACCAATGTGATTTAAGACAACAAAAATAAAACCATGGTTTTTGTCCAGTGTTATTTAAGGGTGGCAAAACCAACAATTTTACATTATTTGGTCATTTTGTATTTGAATCACAGTTGTATTTAGGCAGTCCAAACACATTGTCCTTTTTGGTGTGTGTTTAGAGCAAGCCAAAATTGCAAGTAACGTTTTTAATTTTCATGACATGGCATGAGTTTGAATAACCGAACCAGTTATATCCAATGAGAACTCGACAATACTGGATGTATACTATATACCGTATAAGGAAATGGGAGTTCATTCATAATGTTTTAATTATTCTATTCTATTCTATTCTATTATAATGGCAGGAAATAAATAAGACAGATTACATTTCTTAATTTAAATGAACACTTATTTTACAGGTTTTTAACAAAATCATATATATATATATATGTATATATATATATATATATATATATATATAGATATAG